CTAGAAGTAGTAGTTTCCTTCGGATATTAGAACCTTTACACTCAATCTGGGGCAGGGTAGTGTTCAGTTAATCCAATAATGCATGCAAATCAACAAAGAAAAATCCAAAAGACGATTGTTCATCAAAGACCCACAACATGGCAGTCACAACCTTCCAATAAAATCAAAAAAACACATCAAAAGCCTGCTAAGTCAGACACCTCATAGGGGACTTAGGAAAAATCAAGGCAATCCCGATGGATCTGACAAGCAAAGTCAATCCATGCAAAAGTTAGGGATCAAAAACAAAAGCAAAAGAGGACCCCGAAATCCTCAACAAAAACAAAATAATATTTAGTGGCCACCCAAATCAAAAAGGTCACTAACATCCTTCAATGCAAAATAAGGTGACTGCCATGTCGAGCAAACCTTGAACCTTCAAGCTTACACCGTCCAGACAAGTGTAGAATTAACTGAGCGTAGGACTGGAGATCATTACGAAGAAGGGGTGGGTACAAATCATACTTTGAGCCTAATAATCTTTTGTTTCATAACCGTGAACCAGACCACGTTACAACCCTTGAAAGACCTAATTGAGACGAGGTTTATTCTGAAAGCATACTATCGCAAGGTTGCGTAACCTGACTCCTCACATGATTTCTAATCATCAATATTGGTGTCATTTTGCTTGCTATATCTTTCGCACCAATCAAATTAGCACAACGTCTGGGCTAGCAGTCCATTCGTCTCACACTTTCACGACACCTCAATAAATGACACACTTTTTCAAAACTTACATTGAACTGCGCATTAATATTACCATTTATGAATGTACAAATTTTAATTGCAAATCAGTGCTAGATATTCAAGGACATCTCAATGAGAGGCAACCGAGGGGGAACTTGACTTTCAGTGGCATACACGAAGTAAGAGTACTTCAAACCCCATAGGCTGGGGCAGGTCATTCAACAGCTCGAGCAGGGGCATGTCGTTACCATATTCAGACTGGGGCAAGACCAGGTCGTCATGACCATCAAGCAGAGTTGCAACCTTCTCTGAAGGAAATCCACAGCGAATCACCAAGTACCCAGACTTGGGGCATCCGGAGCATCGTCTTCCGCTTCAATCGTGACGTCTTCAACGAACTGCGTGTCGAGGAAGTCAATCCCTCCCACTACCCGAAGTCCAATTCGCTTTGGCGACTACCCAAAGTCCACCACGCTGGCGTCTCCCTGCATTGCTAATTACCTGTCTGCAATCATGTGCATCATACGCATTGCATTCGTTATCATAAGCATCTTGCATCATATGCATGCCCAACCATATCACACTTCCCCGGCTCTTGCATTTCCGCGCATCAGCATTTGCATTTGCTCTTCCACTCGTATAGAATATCATTTATCATCCAGCATTCATATATGCAAGTCAAGGTCCAGGATCAATCTTGAAGATTTCCAAGACCATCATCAGCCCAATCAGGGGCATCTTCCACAACATCTTCAAAGCAATCATCAGCCCAGTCAGGGGCATTTTCTTCAAAGACCATGGGCGTCTTTCATGACGTATTTCAACCTTGTGGTTAGTCAGATCTTCGAATTAACATTCAGCCCAGTCAGGGGCGTACCGTTCAAGACCGTGGGCGTTCTCCACGAAGTTGTTCAACCTTTTGTTGGGCAAATCCGAGAAGTTTAATGCAAGATCCAGCCCGAGCAAGGGCATCTTCAGCAGAACCGTGAGCGTTCCTCACGAGGTTGTTCAACCTTTTGTTGACCAAAACAAGACATTTCAAGACAAACTCAGCCCATTCAGGGGCACCCTCTTCAGAACTCATGGGCGTAACCGTGAAATCATTTCAGCAAAACAGTGATCTCCAAACAAAGACGGTGGGCGTACCCCGTTGACTCATTTCAATTCAATCTTCCTCTTGGGGGTTCCCCAATGAGTTGTACCCAGCAAGCGTGACCGTTGTCAATTGCCTTACTATCATCCTTTTGGTGATAGTCGAATTTCGTCAGTTCAACATAGCCTGCATCTTTTCGATGTTGGTAACCTTCAATTTGTGTGTGCCCTATCATCCTTTTGGTGATAGCGGCTGGTGTGAGTTTTGCTCCGTCATCCTTTTGGTGGTGGGTCTGGCATTTCGTTGATGTCAGATTGTGCGATTGTGTTTGCCATATCATCCTTTTGGTGATAGCGGCTGGTGTGAGTTTCGCTCCGTCATCCTTTTGGTGGTGGGTCTGGCATTTCGTCGATGTCAGGTTGTGTGATTGTGTTTGTCCTATCATCCTTTTGGTGGTAGTGGCTGGTGTGAGTTTTGCTCTGTCATCCTTTTGGTGGTGGGTCTGGCATTTCGTCGATGTCAGATTGTGCGATTGTGTTTGCCCTATCATCCTTTTGGTGGTAGTGGCTGGTGTGAGTTTCGCTCCGTCATCCTTTTGGTGGGGGGTCTATCATGGTCATTAATGATAGATTGTGTGATGTGTTTTGTATTTATCTCCGTCATCCTTTTGGTGGGGGGTCTATCATGGTCATTAATGATAGATTGTGCGATGTGTTTATTTGTGTTTCGCTCCGTCATCCTTTTGGTGGGGGGGTCTATCATGGTCATTAATGATAGATTGTGCGATGTGTTTATTTATGTTTTCGCTCCATCATCCTTTTGGTGGTGGGTCTGGGATTTCGTCGATGTCAGATTGTGCGATGTTGTGTGTTGTGTTTCGCTCTGCCATCCTTTTGGTGGTGGGTCTGGCATTTCGTCGATGTCAGATTGTGTGATGTTTTGTTTGTATTTCGCTCCGTCATCCTTTTGGTGGTGGGTCTGGCATTTCGTCGATGTCAGATTGTGCGATATTTTGTTTGTGTTTGTCATATCATCCTTTTGGTGGTAGTGGCTGGTGTGAGTTTCGCTCCGTCATCCTTTTGGTGGGGGGTCTATCATGGTCATTAATGATAGATTGTGCAATGTGTTTTGTGTTTCGCTCCGTCATCCTTTTGGTGGTGGGTCTGGCATTTCGTCGATGTCAGATTGTGCGATAGTTTGTTTGTGTTTGTCATATCATCCTTTTGGTGGTAGTGGCTGGTGTGAGTTTCGCTCCGTCATCCTTTTGGTGGGGGGGGGTCTATCATGGTCATTAATGATAGATTGTGCGATGTATTTTGTGTCTCGCTCCATCATCCTTTTGGTGGGGGGTCTATCATGGTCATTAATGATAGATTGTGCGATATTTTGTTTGTGTCTCGCTTCGTCATCCTTTTGGTGGGGGGTCTATCATGGTCATTAATGATAGATTGTGCGATAGTGTTTGAGCTTCGCTCCGTCATCCTTTTGATGAGGGGTCTGTCATAGTCATTAATGTCAGATTTTGCGAATGTGTTTTGCTCTGTCACCCTTTTGATGGCAGTAGCCGTGTGTGTTTTGTCCCATCATCCTTTTGGTGATGTGGACCTTTTTTGCCAGTTATTTACCGTTGGTTCAGAGGTTTACCTCATCCAGCATTCCAACCCCCGAGCATCTTTTTCTTTTCGAACAAATTCAGGGTTTACTTTATATCTAATTGTCTCGTACTTCGAAAGAATGAACTCCATAGTATTTCATCTTACAAGTATCAAGCCAATTAGATAGGGGCGTCTGTTGTACCCTAAAATTTTCCTACCTGTATATAAACTTCATCTGTATATCCGTCCACTAATAGTTATTCAGAAGTTCAAAGAATACAGGCTGCAACTAAGGTTTTAAAGTTTTTCAGTCATGTACGCCTCTTTTCAAGTGTGTATTAGAGTTAGGATAAGGTGAGCTTTGGTTTATGGATTCTGAAAGTCAGTTATTACAAGGAGTCACTCTAAAGCATCACATAAAAGCGTTTCAAAGAACAAATAAAGCGCAAACCGCAAGATAACTTTGATTGATTTCAAGTTATTTGATTTTGAGGCAAAGCATTGATAAAGGCATGAACATGTCATTTATGACCCAAACTTCAGGTTACAACTACTTTATGGTCATATGGTTTTTAAGGATCAAAGTTTATGGATAAAAGGATATTAACTCGAGGATGTTGTTTGGATTCAGTACATCGACGTATTACAAGCCACAAAGAAAATAGTTATTTCATCAGTTGCAAGAAATAAGCCTCACTCTTCATTTACCCTTTATACATATGAGCCAAATAGATCTAAAAATCTATACATAGAATCACTGCTGCATCAATCAAGCCATCAAAATGTGTTCAAATTGAAATGTTAAATAAAATTCCCAACAAGTCTCTTGTTAATAGAAGAGCTCAAATCCCATCTTTTGATAATATTAAAAAGAAACAAAATATGATGATCAAAAGTTTCCCTATGGAAAACCAAAATACATGTTGTGAAGTTAGCCCAAAAGAACAACACAGGAACAGGACAGAGTTGTTTTCATAGCCCATTGGTCTTGGAGTTCTTTTTACGAATAAATTCACAATGGAAGCATACGGATACGGCGGCGTGAAGAAAATAAGGGAAGCTGATGTTTCTTGTTTGTTTGCGAAATCCTGTCGGTACCCACCAAGTGAATAGCCTGCAAAACCAATACAACGGAATTATACAACCCCCAATACCGTACGGCGAATGAAACAAAGTTGTAGCGCAAATTTTCACACATAAAGTGTACGTCGCTACCACAAGATGGTCCCTGCGTATAACAATAAATTTTGAGAAAAATCTATGAGCTAGTGATAAGCCGCATCATAATCACGAGCCACACAACAGACAAAATCAGAATTTCAAAACAAAAGAAAAGGGGGCTACGAGTAAAAGACGCTAAAGTAGCAGAAACCCCCTCAGAATTCTCATTTGATATAGCCAAAGTTGCAGTTTCTCAGATCTGCCAATCAGTTGGCTACAAAAGATCCAAATACGATGCTCTTGAAGCCTTAACTAATGTTACCACAAAATATCTCGAAGCCATTGCAAGATCAGCTGCCTCTTTTACCAATGCATCCAACCGTACTGAATCTAACCTCTTTGACCTCATTAATGGCATTCATGATATGTGTTCTGTTCGTGGAGTTCCTGGTGGTTCAAAAATGCATACAAGTAATTTGCTGAGCTCTGGAGCTCTAAAAGATATAATGAGTTTCGTCAAGTTCTCCAAAGAAGTGCCATTTTCCAAACCAATTCCATCAAAAAATCCCGAAGTAACCACTGATTCTGGCACATCAACATGTTGCTTAGAGGAAGCAAAACCAAAAGGGTTGCATATACCAAGTTGGCTCCTAGATTTTCCTAAGGAAAGCTTATATAAAACGTCTGAAGGGGGTTTAGTAAAGGGGAGGAAAGTTAAGCATACCTCATGATTCCCCGACAGAAACTCGTAAAGATAACTCACAATGGGTTTTTTTTTCTTTGGTGGAACTTTGAGCAACCCTTCTATTCTTCCCACACCAAAACCTTTTTCTTCATCCCCTAAAAAACAACAAAACCTTACAATTTACTTTAAAAGAAAAACCACACCCTGCTGCAAAACCAACAGCACATGCTTCACAAAACCGTTTCAATGTCGAAAGTAGTACGAGTACTAATCCATCGTCATAACAGCCCATATCCTGCGATGAAGAGACGAAGTCAAAAATGTTACAACTACAAAACAACCCAAAGGCAATAAAAAAACATATCAGTCAAGAGCCATTTTTGATTACGCTTGCCACATGTGACAAGATGCACGACTCGCATGGTGTTTCCTTCGTACGACATCACTAACTTGGCTCACACATCAGCCTTTGATTCACCTGCACAGGCCGCGCCAATAATCGTGATTCAACCGGCAGTAACACAACATGATAAGCAAAATTTGAAGGAAAAGTAAATGAGCAGAATGTTAGTGCATTACAAGAAATCAAAAATGAAAGTTCAGCAAAGCATTGTATGCTTGAAAAGTAAAGCTTCGTTGCAAACATTACTTGAAACAACATCACAAGGTTCAAGGGTTCAAATAGTGCTACAATTAAACTGCAAGACAATTACAAAGCTCAAAATCAAAGAACTCTAAGGTTTAAAGCATGGAGTTACATGATTGATTAAGTGCAGGACTTACAAGTGGCGGTTATTGCTTTTTCCATGCCAAAATTACTTCCTCATCACAAGTACACAAGCAACATCACATACAAAGTTGGTGCACAAAATTCCCATAATACACAAGGCATCAACTACCAAACCAGCCGTTGCTTCGCGTCTCACAGCATACCATGTGAAGCAACAACGTCGCAGGGACTCCATGAATTTCAAGGCCTTCAGTTCCAAGCAGCGCCATATAAACATCAACAATAACTTCATTTTTACAACAATTCAGCCGTACAGCGCACTCCTCGCGAGACCGCTTCGGCATTTTCTTGTACGCCATGGTACGACCTATAAATAACAGTATGTGAATGTCACAACTTGTAAATCGCAAAGCAAAACGCAATGACAAATGAAAAAAATCGCATAATACTCGGCGCACCAACTTGCTTTTGTTCGTAAGGTTTGTACAATTTGAATTATATGGAAATGTCACGCGGCAACCATAAATTAAGTGAGGCATGATAATACCCACCACCTGCACCATAATATTGAGAGTCACATAAGTCCCATGAGTTTTTTTAGTAGAAATAAAAGGTGAAAATACAGATAATAACAATAAGGTGGATTCACAGTTGGAAAACGCAGCAAGTCTCACACAACAGCCCCCTCCAAAATCGTACCAGCTGCAACCACTCTGCAAAAAGACAACTCTGCTCCCTGCTACACACAAAACCATTTCTCCATGCCAGACCAAAAATCTGCTACAGCCAACCAACACCTGCAGAAGTTGTACCACAATTGTATTACTGCAACATAAAGACAAAAAAATTCACAGCTAACACCACACCACACCAGACAGGATCTGTTGCAAAGCAACCAACACACACAAAGAAAAAGGATAAAAACGTACAATAGGAGGGGGCTTTTTCTCCTGAAAAAAGGAGAGACACTCTCATCACGCCTAAGGGGGGATTCCTCACCAGAAAACTTGAACAAAAATTCTTCTTCCTTCAAACTTGCAACCCTATTCATCTTCATAAACGACCCTTCAAATCACCACATGGAATAACCTCCCTCCATCCACAGCGCCACCTTGACCCTCCATCAAACAACCACCTTAAAAGCTTAACTTTCCTCTTCTTTAACAAATCATAGACGATGATTATTCCTTTGTCCTTCATCAAACCGACCCACTAACTAACAATCAAACTCAGCTACTATCTTACTCCCAACTCGTCTCTTCATCATTTTCAAATCTCCAGAAACAACTGAGGATCTCACTCGTACAACAACGTCAGAAAAAAAAAAAACCTTCAAATCTTATACAACCCAAAACCGTCGAAGCTCTTTTGACCGAAACTTTAACAAAATCCCTCAACCCCAAATCATATATCAACCCCAAATTCTCAATCCTTCTTTTACCAACCAGAGTTGAACGAAGGAGGAAATTAAGTTGAGATAAACCTGATTCAACACCCAAAAACCAAAAGAAAACGAGAATCAGAAATAGAGTAGAAGAAGAACATGGAAGATCTGAAATTCAAAACAAAGAATAACAGAACAGAGGAAGTGAATCGCAAACCTGAGTCAAAATCATTACAGGTGAGAAACTGAATCGAACACGAGATATTGAGAGAGAGATTCGTGGGTGTTCATGCCGCCGAAATCGCATTCGTTTTATTCAAGAGAAAGGTGTTTTATTGAGGATTATGCACAAATCGTATCTCCTTCATTTTAGTTCCTTGAGTTTTTTTATTTTTTTTATTTTTTTATTTTATTTCATTTTAAAATATCTTTTATGGCTGTTTGGATAATAAGACTTGAAGTGCCATCCGGTGGGCTTCGAGCTCGTGTTTTTCTTTTCAAAGTTTTTAAAATTTAATTAATTCCAAGTTTTTTCGTTTTAAATGGATGAATGGGCCATGGGCCCATAAGGATTCCATATTTACATATACAACCCTAGTTCTTCTTTATACCCCTCCTTATGTTTCTTTCATTTCTTTTTTTAGTTTTTTTATAAGAGTTTATTAGATGAAGTTTTAATGTTCTTGAGTCAACTTCTCACTTTGTTTTCAAATTAATATTTTTGAGGTCGATGACGATACCCCGAGTTATAATTTGTCAAATTATTGACAGATAATAACAAGCACGAGACCATTTCTTTTCAAAACTTTCATTTTCGTTTTTTACCCACTTTTTTTTCCTTATTCTTTAATCAATGATGACTTTAATGACTATTATCGGTCAAATTATTGATAGATGATAATTCAGTCAAGACTACGCCATTTTCGCTTCAAATCATTCTTAAGCATTTTTCTCGAAAAAAACTCCAAAAGAGGGAGATTCTTGAAATCTAGCATTTCTTGGATCTTCAAGTGAATAATTCTCGAGGCACGCTCTTGAGTTGTTATTCCTTCAATATTTTGATTTGCTCAAACACATTCTCAATGTCTTTTTGATCAAAACCTCGAAAGAAAGAGGCACTTGGAATCTAGCATTCCTTGTGTCTTCGAGTGAATAATTCTCGAAGCACGCCTTTGAGTTGTTATCCACTCAACCTTTCGACTTTTTCAAACTCAATCATTTTCCAACATTCTCCTAAGTCGAATGCTCGTCCGCATTCGCAACCCACATTTCATTCACCATTCCTCGTGGTTTCAATATTAGGGGCATCCTCAGGGACTAATATTGTTTCTCACAATCTTAACCCTTGACACGTCGTCAAGTCGGTTCAATCTTCGATCAAATCCTCGACATGTCGTCGAACTACTTCAAACCAACTTCTTTTGGCCTCGCATGCCATTTTTTTGATTCGATCTTTTCAAACATTTTTAAAAACTTACGAAAGAGAGATATTCTTAGAATCTAGCATTTTTTGAATATTTGAATGAGTAACTCTCGAGGCGCGCCCTTGAGTTGTTATTAGTTCATTCTTTCGATTTCAAAACGTCCAACTCTTTATCTTCAACTTATTCAGTCAATTCCCGAAAGAACTGAGTTCTTGGAATCTCGCATTCCTTGAATTCTTGAGTGACAAGCTCTTGAGGCGCGCTCTTGGGTTGCTTGTCAGTCACTCTTTCGTCTCTTTCTCAAGCTTCCAACCTATTCAACTTCACCTTTTCGTGGTCGTTACCACGAACTACGGACGCTCTGATTCTTCATTCATTCTTGAATGTAAGATACGTAGGCACAAGATCGCGATGATCTTGGCGAGCACACTTCTATCCATCTTCCACTTTCCCCCATCCTTTCCCGTAGTCGAACTACAACGCTCTGATTTCTCATTCTCGTCCGAATGAGCATACGTAGGCACAAGGGCCCCCAATCCTTGGCGAGCACCCTATCATCTAACCACCCATCTCTCTTTTACATCATTAACCTTTTAACCTACCAATTCTACCTTTAACAACGAGAAGAAAACAAGTAAACCTAAACAACACTCCCCACAAATGCCTTAAGAGGTTCCCGTCGAGTACGACGGACGTGAGGGGTGCTAATACCTTCCCCTCACGTAACCGACTCCCGAACCCGGAACATGGTTGCGACAGCCCTGTTCCTATCCTTTCGTTTTAAGAGGTTTTCTCGATATTTTCCTCTCCCGTTCATTCGGGAAAAATAAAGTTCGGTGGCGACTCTGTCGAACCGCATTTCCGCGCCTTTCGCGCGAGGGTCATTTCTCCGAAATGTCTCCGTGATTTTTTGAGGTGCGACACCCAGGTGAGTCACTTGCGAGTGTTGTCTTCCCTGGTCGAGTTTGTTGGTCATACATTTCCCCCCAACAGAGTGGTTAATGAATGATGTTCCTTGGCAGAGTCGTTTGTCTGAACCTCTCTTTTCCTATCAGATGTTTCTTTGCAAATCGTGAGTCAGTTGATTTCGTTGCCTGCTTGTTCTGGGTGCGTTATCCCAACCTTTGGTTGGTAATCCCCAGCGTAGTCCAAATTATTGTGCTTGGTTTTCCAACTTTTGGTTGGTAATCTCTGGGATATGTTATTCCAACTGTTGGTTGGTAATTTTCGATTCCCTCTGCAGAGTTCTTATCCTAACTCTTGGTTGGTAATCTTTGTTTCATTCCGACTCTTGGTTGGTGACCTATCGGCGTTTAGATGTTATTCCAACTTTTGGTGGTTAATCTCTATTTTCCTCAACAAAGCCGGGGATTCTAACTTTTGGTTGGTAACCTTTATTGTGGTCAGCTCGTTTTCATTTAGTATGGGTGGCAATTCTAACTCTTGGTTAGTAGCTTCTATTCTAACTCTTGGTTAGTAGCTCCTATTCTAACTTTTGGTTAGTAGCT